ATTTGCCCTTGGTGAAGCCATGTTGGTTGTATCAAATGTCTTGATAGAGAACCTCTCTAGGTGAGTGACTTGAAACTTCCTGTTTGTGTAGGGCAAGGAAGGAGACTTGTTTGCCAGGAATGCACCAGACTGATGCTAAAGGTGTGTGCAGAATAAAACTCTATTTTCCTTCTGTTACAGTGTCTCGGTTGGTCACTATAAGTAAAGATCCCTACGAAGCCTGCGATGGAGCTCATGCCCTTGTGATCTGCACTGAATGGGACATGTTTAAGGTAAATGTTATCTTAAATTTAAACTAAAGAAAAGAAGAGGGAGTGTTACGCTGCTTATTTATTCTATCTGCTTTAATTGCCCTTTACAGGAGTTGGATTATGAACGTATTCACAAAAAGATGCTGAAGCCTGCATTTATCTTTGATGGTAGGAGAGTTCTAGATGATCTTCACAATGAGCTACAAGTCATTGGCTTCCAGGTAATCATGAGTGACGCCGCTTCTTATGTTTCTTGCCTTCTGCTCTCTTCCCTCTTGTTCTTTCTCCCTCTGCAATGACTGAGTAGCAAGGGAAAAATAACTCTTGCAGGTGAGGATTTAAATCTAAGCCTGTCCGTACTTAAGTCTTTTCCCTGGTGCCGTCTTCTTTCTTTACCTTGCTGTCATAAGACTGATGCTCTGTTAAAATCCAAGCTACATCAGACTACACCATCAACATTCAGCAGTATAGGCATTTCTTGAAGCACCTCTAGCATGGGCAGAATTTGACTAATACTAAAATAAACAAATCCCTGAATAATCCGAGAGAAGCATCTTGGCTAAACACAATCAGAACAAAATCTACAAGCCAGAGCAGATGTGTATTTCAGTTGCGTTTCATTCTGTGTACTCCTGAGTACTGTGTTTACTTGTATAATGGCTGTAGGCTTTGTCTCTTGATAACTTTCCTCTGCTTAAACTACACAGTTATTTACACTGCTTGTGAACAGGCTTGTATAAATTGATTTAACCAGTCAATCGAAGCTGTTATGGGCAAATATGGTACATACAACTCTCGTGACTGTTTAAACTACTGGAATATATTCATGAGACTTCTGTTAAATTTAAAATAGTTGAAGTATTTTGTCTTTTGGTGCTTTACATCTGACCTGCACTACTCACTCAAGAGGAAAGCTGTAGCTCTTCTTGTTTACTGGGTGTCAGAACTGTTTTGCTAGTTGGTGTTTCGTCCTGTCCTCCACTAAGATCTGTCCTTAGTGATTTACATGTCTGACCTAGAAATTAGGGAAACCTGTCACACTCTTTAAATTTTGCAGTACCTGGCTTGTGTGTGTGTGTTGGCTTTGTTACATGTTTTCTCTTGTATAGGGATGCCTGCCTTGGAGTTGTATTGTCAAAAACAACTTGCTGTATTACGGAGGGGAAAAAGCTGCTTCTATCCGAATGTACCGGATATAAATTTTTAGACAAAGGAGGCTGAACCCACGTTTTCTGGATGCCCAGAAACATTGATGTTTGTACTGGGAGTCCTATGGAAGCTGAGGCACATGAATATTCAAATCAGCTGGGTGCAGCTTTAAATAGGCAAAGCAGGCACCGGTGAAAGGCTGTTTATAAACTCTCCAACTCCAATCCCAGAAACTGTCCCTGGCACGCTGCGTTTTGGCTTCTGTTATTATAGTGTCTGTGAAATGTAGTCGTGGTCCTGGATTTAGTTTGTAGATTCCTTGTAGGCTGACATGATTATGTTAGCTTGCCACACTCACTTGTTGAATGTGTTTTCTCTTTCAGATTGAAACAATTGGGAAGAAGGTGTCAGCCAAAAGAATTCCTTTTGCTTCTTCATGTGAAATTCCTAAGTTCAGCCTGCAGGATCCACCTGTCAAAAAGCCTAGAGTATAGTGTTTAATAGGTACTGAAGGAATTCTGTGGACCTTCTTAGTGATAATAACTGTAAGCCTATGCTTTTTTTTTAAGGAAAGATATTTTTCATAAACTAAAACCCAATTTTACATGAGCAATGGTACCTGGTACATGTGAATTCAGTCTATTTTCAAATCTCTATTTTTATAGCAATTTTTTTTTTTGTTACTGAAGATGGTACAAACCTGTTTTTAATAATGAATCACCTTTTAAGTGGAAAAGTTACCTTCAAACTGCAGATTTCTGCTTCTAGAAGTGTTTCTAAACTGCACTTTAAATGTTTCAAGTGATATGAAAACAAAAGAAACATAATATCTTTTTACTTTAGTCCAGTTATGGACAATGATCAGGAACTCTGGTCTCGCCAGTTTCTCACTTCCTTTTGGGGTAATTCTTTGCCCTGTTAAATGCTTGCTCTAACTGGCACTGAAGTCAAAAGATAAGTTCTGAGTGAATTTGGTAGGATTTGGGTTGAGCCCTAAAACAGAGTGGGCTGCAACAATAATACCCTGATCTTGGATGGGATCAGTGGGCACTGATGCAGTCCAAACGGCATCTGGTGGGAGGCCAGGTAGTTCTGCAGGCGTCTATCATGTAATTAATGACAGTGGACTAGCAGCTATGATCTGATCCACTGGCAGATCATCACTTCTGATTATTTGGTTGTCTTGCCTACATTCCATGTGCAGCCACATAACTTACTGATCTAATCAAATTCCAGGGGCAAGTGTTTCCTAAGTCACAGCAATACAACCTATCTTCAGCAGAGAAGCATTCTGCTTTTTTGAACATTGGATTTAAGCAGAGTAACCTTAATTTCATCAGTCCAAATAGAAAGCAAGTGTTGGCTTCAAAGCTACCTAAGGGTTATTTTTTTTTTCCTTCCTTTTTGCTTACATACTTCAACTGAGAGCGGCTTTCTTAATGAATCTGAAAAAAACATTCTCTGCTGTTAAGAAATGATTAAAAATAAAAATTCAGCCCCATAAGTTAGTCAGCTTGCTACCTCATTTAATTAGCAGGAATTAATACTTCCTATGTTATCTTGATATTTTTGCCTTTACTATGACTTTATTTCTACTTGTTTTATTATTCTCAATTGACCAGTGCTATTAAAATCCTTGAGATGCCAGAGTTTGTGTTTGGCTTGTTGCGTGGGATTGCGAAATGGAGGGGAGGGAGGATAGAGAAGGATGACCCTGAACGGTTCTGGACTAGAAAACATGGATGTCTTAGTTGAATAATAGTAGTTTTGGGATGTTAGAGAACTGTCCTGTAACTAGTCACATAATATCTTCTGACTTTATTCAACAGGTGTGCCTTCAGGTGTGCTGTATCAGTAGTGAAAGAGAGCATAATCTCAGTGCTGTCTTGGTAATGGGCGCTATTATCGTAACTGTACCCACAGAAATGTAGGCACAATTTAACCTTTAAGACAGATACTTGAAGGCTTAAGGAACTTATAACCATTTGAGTAGACAATACAAGACACCATTATCTGACTGAAATGGCTGTATCCTTGAACCAGATGTTTTGAGGTTCTGCAGTTAATTACTTCCACGTAGGGACTTATGCACCAATCACTCAGCACTTTGGGCAAATACGCCTCAGGCTTTTTCTTCTATCATAAGATCCTTCCTCTGAGGAGCACATCAGCAGCCACTCAAAGTGAGTGGGAACTAAAATCAAACTGTCATCTTTCATCATGCCTTTTCCTTTTCCTGATTCACTAGCACTGCTTTCATGCAAAACCCACAGAGCAGGGATGTCCCTGTGATACAGTTGTAGTATTTGTAAGCATTGTAATCCAACTGGTAGATCATCCTGTCTTTGCAGGTGGGCATCCTCTTGACAACTTATGCCCCCATAGCACCTGAGAGGGCAGGCTGGTCATTTCTCCTTGGGGGATTAAGAAGATGGTACTGACACGTTGTGCTTGCGGGATCTGTGTTCAGGGTAGCACAGCACTGCTTCTGGGCTCATCCTAACAGGGAGGGCGAGTAGAGGCTTCAGAAGAGCAGGGTGTTCTCAAACTTGCACACAGCTGTAATCGTAGTGCCTCTGCATGGGACCTGACCTCGTCAGTTTGAAGTATGCGGTGGATGAAATGACCAACACCAAGATGTGTTCAGGCATCAGCACTTTATTGAGGCTTTGCACTGCTTATATATCCTTTTTTTTCCTCCAGCACACCCCAAGCACGGGGCACTCTTTCACTTTTGATTCGTTACCGCTTATCACACATGCGCCAAAACAATTGACATGATTGGATAATTCCACCTGTTCAGGAGCCATTCTCTTACTTCTGACGGGTTACTGATTACAGCTCAGAAATCATCCCTTATCTTGTCTCATGCACATTCTTGCTTGTTGTTCCACTTTGTTTTATTTTTCACTCAAGGTCAGGAATTAATTGCTCAAGGCTGAAGCCGCCTGCAGCTTCGGCTCTTAAAGCACCAACAGGAGCAGACAGATGAACCATTAAACTCCTGTATGAAGTGTTGCTCCTGTTTAGGAATGTGCAAGAGCCATAAGGCTGGTCAGTGTTCTGAGGCTTCCAGTGGCTTTTCACACGCTGTCCCAAGGAGACACAGGAACTAGGTGCTATACCCCTTATTCCCACCCTCTTTCTCCTGCAGACTTAATCAAAACCTGGATAGAGACTTGTGGCTTAATCATAAAGATGATAAAGAATGGGAAAGTTCTGTAGAGTGGGATCATTCTAACTCCCCTTTCTTTGGAAAAGGGGAGTAGCAGATACTTTTTTGAAGAGCAACAAGGGGTAAAACTGGTACTGGCACTTCCCTTGCTCTCTTGGAGAGTCAGCTTATTTAGTTTCTTGGCAGCTGCATTCTTTTAGTGGGACATGGATTGTGGGGTGAATCCAGTCTGAACAGCTGCTGGTGGGCCATGCCTTCAGGATACTGAAATACTTACCTTGCATATATGCCAGAGAACCTTACCACAGGCCAAAAGGAAGAGCTCTGGAAGATTTTGCAACACTGTGAATCATAAGCCAGAGTATTCAGAGTACAGTTGCCAGGGAAATAAGAACTGGAGATTACTTGCA